CTATAGCACACATACTTCCCATACAAACATTCACCCCTATGCATTTTCTTGCACTTTGGACAAGGTGGAAAGACTTGTCCAAAACCTGATCCGAAGTTAGCCTTCTTGTTCGATCCTTCTCCTTTCTCTTCATTGGACCTATTCCATTTTCTCTTTCATGAAGACTCGGCCCCTTGCTGGGAGTTTGGTCAATTTTCAACCTATTTGAGATTGCTTGAGCAGTTTGCAATACTCGGCTATAGGTGGTGAATTGGTGGGATGCTAGTATTCCACCAATCTCAGGACGTAATCCCTGTTCGAACTTCCTTACTTTCTTTGCTTCAGTGTTAACTAGGTGTGGTGCATACCTTGATAGTTGTTCGAATTTCTCTCATAATCATCAAGCTTCATTTTTCCTTGTTTAAGTTGAAGAAATTCTGTCTCCTTTTGATCTCTCAGAGCTTGGGGTTATTTTCCCATTATTTCGTCCTTAAATTGTGTCTACGTCAGAGCACGTTGTTGTGCTTCTGTTCTAGTGTGAGATGCTGACTCCCACCAGTGCCCTGCAGCGTCAACCAAGATGAATTTTGCGCATAACACCTTTTGAGCATCAGTGCAAGATCGATGTTTGAAGATTTGCTCCATTCCTCTTATCCATTCTTCGGCTGCTAGTGGGTTTGCCTTGCCATCGAAGGTTGGGGGTTTATAGCGACAGAACTGTTCCACAATTGAGCTAATATTGTTAGCATTTGCACCATGGGGACCAGCCTGTGCTTGTTGCCTACCCAAGTCTTGCACCGTCCTTAGCAAATCCTTGATGATCGTAGTTTGGCTTTTTTGTTATCTCGACATTTTCTTAACACAAATAAAATTTTAATTTAGAAATATTTAATAAAACAACATAATATTATTAATAATCTTTGTAATAACAAAGAATTTTAAAAATATAAATTTTCAAATCCTTACATATAATAATGTGCTCTTTAAAATCAACTAAACAATTAAACTTTTCCTAAATAAATAAATAACATTTAATCCTAATCCCTGTGAGTCCTAAAAAAAAATCTTCTTTTATGGCATTTCATCATTCGAAGTAATGCATGACTCTGACTCGAAATCTGCAATCAAATCAACGAAATTTTGTGGTTGGATTTCCTACTTAGGGTCTTCCAACTCTGGTTCGATATCTTCCTCTAGGTCCTCTTCCGACTCCTCCTCCGGGTCCTCCTCTAGCTTTGGTTCGGGCGCTGGTACTTGTTGTCTGTGATTCCATAAAATTATGATATCCTCACAGTATCCTTTAAAATCAATCTTGTCCCAATCTTCTTCCAAATATAACTCATAATCCATATCCCTCACGAAAGCCACGTCTCTCGATTGAGGTCGCATAATGCTTATAAGGTGGTATATCGAGAGGATTGTCCCCTCATTATATTCGAATGATCTTGCTCGCTCCTACTTAGAAAGGAAATCTTCAACGTGTTCAACAAAAGTTCACTCCCATCTTACTTCATAATTTATGTAGTTCTCAATGGCTATTTCAGCACACTGGAGGTAGGTTGGGTAATTCATAGTCATCCTAATCACGTGACAATTATAATTTCAATTATGTTTAATCTTGCATTATCAGTATTTTTTATTTTATTTTTTTCAGTGCATACACGATATTCTAGTAAAATGTAAAAATGACAAATATATTATGCAAGGTGAACGTGCTTATACATTTCATAACATGTAGAAATATGAATCATAGCCATGCTAGAAATTAAGAATGAAACGAATTCATTTCATACGCAGGATCAACTAAAGAGTAGTTGAATGGTGAGCGACACATGCCAAGTGTTCTTATAACATTATTTATTTTAAAAAAATTATATTATCCTTTAAATTCCCTATTTTCTTGTCCTTTCTCCTTTTTAAAAAAAAAATAATTTGACTATAATTATTTATGAATTTCTTAGAATAGAAAATGTCAAGAAGTAAAAGTTCATAACAACGGTATCGTTATTTAAAATCACGTTATAAACGGTTATTTAAACACAAACATATAATACATACATATACATGCTTGAAAATAAAATTATAGTATTAACACATAAATACTAATAAAGCTAGATAACAACCACGGAGTATTTTAAGAAATTTACTTATATTATAAAAATTAATATACACTTAAAGGTAATTGTGGGCTAACATTTGAAAAGTTGGTTTCAAAGTATGTTACAATTACATTTTAATTAAGGCATGTAATCTCATCTTACATAAAACTTTCACAAAATCTCACTTTATTATTATTATTATTATTATTATTATTATTATTATTATTATTATTATTATTATTATTATTATTATTATTATTTTAAGTACATGTATGCATCTTTTAATAAAATTTTCTCAAAAATTTTTTGAATTTTCTTAAATTTAGAATTGTTCAAAATATTGTCTTTCTTTTTGTCGATTTGAATAACGCACAATTAAAAGGCTTCCAGATGAGGAAGGAGTCGCAGACGGACCACTTAAATTCCAAACTCTTTTTAGACAGTTTAGATTTTTTTTGATAAAGCCTTTCAATTTTGTAATTACGCAATTCAACAAAATTCAAACAATAAATCGAACAAGAAATCTCTTAAAATATCAATTTTTCAAAGGTCCATTTTTTTATTTTTAAAACATCCCCAAATGCTAAAGTTAAAACATATAAAAATTTATCATATGTAAGATTTAAACCATAGGCCTGAAACTATAACAATTTAAATTCTAAACTACTATTACTCAAAATCAATTTAAAAAATCATTTATTCCTCAAAATAAAGAGACAAATGCATAAAAATAAATGGGTATTGATGTGAATGGTAATCCAAACTACTACAAAATGTGACAAAATCTATAAAAAAATTTGCAATATTCAAAGTATGTCACATCATAATTAAAATCCCAGAACTTTTTGCCATATCATGTAAAACAATTTTTTTTTTGGTCTTTACTGTTACGTGAACAGTAACACTATTAAAAAATTGTTTTTTTCAAAACTTTTTTTTACTGTTCACGTGAACTATTCAATTTTTTTTTTCAAAACAAGTCTACAGAAAAGTTAAACCGTGCTCTGATACCAAGCTAGAACGCTCCAATTTTCTATAAACTTCGGAACGTTACGAAAAACACATTTTCCTTTATTTTAAGTGCAAAACTATAAAAATAAATTTTTTTATTAAACAAATAACTGCAACATTTATAAATCTAAATTTAAAATATGAAAATTTTATCTAAACATAACATAAACTCTTAACTAATTCAAATAATACGTTTGGAACAAAATTAAACTATTTGGTAAATTTAAAGACGGCAAACTTATTTATTTTTCTTTTCATTTGATCCACTTGGCAGTATGCATCACCGTCCTTCCACAATTTCAATCGACCCGAACTAACCTGTAAAAAATTGTAAGAGTGAGTATTCGAAAACACCCAGTAAGATATGTGCAGTTTCCATACACATATATATAACAATAAAAATTACAATTCATACTATCTGATCTTATGGAGTATATCGGTGACCAAGCGACACACCCATCTTAGGTCCTCTTATAATCCCATAGGATTTCATCTCATTAAAAAAACGAATGTCTACTGACAATCCATGCATTTTTTATTGGACATAAACGCATAAAGAAACAAAACATTTGCACTTAAAGTATCTTACCTTGTTAGAAAAATCTGAAGCACGTTCAAAATATTTTCTCCACTTTGAAAAATACGTGATTAAAATATTCAGTAAATGCAAACTTTATTTCCAATGCTACCTTCTCTCTCTTCCTCTCTCTCTCTTTACCTACCGTATGTGTGAATTGGTGTGAGTAAAGCTTTTCATCATACCTATATATATATATATATATATATAGGTGTAGGCTAGAGTAGATAAACCAAAATTTGATTTGATAGGGCCAAATCTTGCCACCAATGTCTACTCACAATGTACTTTATTATTATCTTATGCAACTACAAGATATCAACTATCTTTATCCAACCGTTTATGAGTGTATAGTGAATTTTGTTATAACTAGAATAGTGGAATAGTGAAAAATGTGCCATCCTAGGAATTTTTAAATCAAAACTAACATATAATGATAAAAATCCCACCTCACACGTTTTCTTTTTGGAGAGAGAAAAAATAAATTGATCTATAATCTATATAAAATTACATTTATACCATTTTCTTTCAATTGAGTCTAACTTAATGTGTCATTATCCAAAATAACTTTTTCTCGAGTCAATGACTTCTAATTAATTACGAGCCATCCAACGCGTACAATATTGATATACTTATAATTGCTCTATCAAAATTTAATTGATTTGACCTAGATAAATTAGTAATTTATATAATATACAAAATAAACAAATTTTTATCTATAAAATTTTTGGGTTGCTACAATTTATGCAATAATAGTGATGAATAATATGTAATCAAAGAAGAGAGAAAACAAATGGAGATTTACGTGGTTCGACAATTATCCTACATCCAAGGGAGCGAAAGGGCTATGATTTGTATTATGTATGAATAATAAAGTTATATCATATATATACTAGTTCACACACAACATTAGGGCCCAAACAAAATCTTAAGGAAAAATCCAAAAGTACCCCTGTACCTATTCATATCAGTAAACATGTATTCCACTCTATATGAACTACAGATTTAGAATGTGGTGCAAGAGTTGGAAAAAGTAAGTTATCTCATATCTGAAGATAGTAGGATATAAAAAGTAACTTTGACTTATATTTTTATTTTTAAGCTTAGCCAAACATGGTTTATTATGATTATCCCATCTCCTGTTGGACTTTCATTTTATACTTTTGATCTGGAATGTTTTTCCCCACGGGTACACAAGGTAGCCATGGAAAATTGAAGACTTATCATTTTCTTGCCTCCTGACCCTTTTTTGGGATATTACATCTTCCCGTGCCACCAGAAAAGGAAAACATAGATGGTTAAACTCATGTCTCAATACGATTGCATCTCTCTATCATATCATATGAAATCTCCAAATGGCAAAACATTTGCATAGAAGTATGTAAGAGAAGAATTTCAAAAATTCAAAGGCGTTCACAGAAACTCGTTAAAATTATTAGAGGAAATTTGCTCTTTTGATTGGTCTATTGTGCTGCGGCACGAGTTATGGCTAAAGCCTTACGAACAGCTTGCACCATGGTTACATGCTCATACACTCTTTTCATATTGCTCATATAACCATGGAATCAGTGAAGAACAATGCCTTTAATTCTACACAATCACCTTATAAAAAAAGTCTATCCAAGTCAAGTACTCATACAAATTATGATATTTTTATTAGATACTATTTCTGGCTAAAGTAGGATGGCCCTTCCACACGGCTCACCCCTCAATTAGGGGATCCCAAAATTAATCGAAGCCCATTAGTGACGGTTCAATGTCACCACTATGTGCTTCGTCAACCTTCCAATTATTCATTGGACCGATCTCATTGGCAGAGATGTATGAGCTCTGGCTCGTCTCAAAATTTTGTAGCTGCAAATTATACTGGACAAATATCAAATCCTTTAATATCTGCTGCTCTGTACAGTTTTGTTCCTTTGTGAGTAGAAACTCAACCAAACTCCTTTTCAGCTTGAATTTTGAGGCACCATCGCAACTCTGGCTAAGAATTTGAGTTGCCAATCGCTGTAATTCAGGATATTTTTCTGCAAATTTTTTCCACCAGAGTGCTGTCACAAGCATTTGAAAGTTGGGATAAGTCAACTAAGAAACAAAGTTTCTAAAGTATAAATTTCAAATTTAATTTCTTCTAATAACCAACTTGCTAAAAATATATCTAAAGCTTTTCTTCTCGAAAAGTAACTTATTTTAGACACGGACAACGCGATCTTACTTGTTATAAGTAAATTTATAATTGAACTTTTTAAGCATAGCCAAACAAGCCATGAGAAAAAAAGAAGCAAAAATTAAAATGAAAAAGACCTGGTGAAAAATCTGATAGGCATTTGGATCCCACACTGAAAGCATCACTTGCCCTTAAATACTCTTGTAACTGCATCATGATCAGCTCTTGAACGCGACTATCTCCATTCATCTTGATGATAGAAAGAAAAAGTCCTTTGTGAACTTCTAAATCATTGTGGTAACCATCTGTATAAAAAAGAGTTGGATTTAAATTGTAACCGGCGCAATGCAGTGGGCTGTGGAGATGCATGATCCAAATATTGTCTATTTCTTTCCAGAACGGCATATACAGGCTTTCCTTATTTTTGAACCCCTCTTTGATTGTTTTCTTGGCTCGATCCATTGTTTCGTATATAAGACCAATTTGGGGCTTATTGTTCTTGTTTATCAAGTATAAAACCCGTACTATAGGAATAGCTGCCGTCAAAACCACTAATGCCCCATTCCAAAAAGTAGGATCTGCCACCAAGTAATCGACATTTTTTCCGTCGATGGAGTCTGATAGATCTGAGGTTCTCCACTCGGATGAAGAGAACATGTTTTCCAAACCCTTCTTCTCCAAAACAATATTCTCAAGGGTCAAGTATGGCTCTGCAGACCTAATTTTGGAAGACTTTACAAGGTTCTCTACCCGAGTATAAGCTCTCAAAAGTTTCAGGGCACTCGGGTGGTTTTGGACGAAGCTTGTTATTGTTCTGGCCTTCTCCAATATATCTCTAATGAAACTCATACTTTCAAATTTTACTAACATAAGTTCTAAGCAGGTAGAAGCACTCACTGTCCAAAAAACATGTCTGTGCTTGTTTGTCAGCCGCTCGCCCACTTCTTTCATGAAGGCTGATGTCGAATATGTAATAACTTGAATCACATTCTCGACCCCAACTTCGTCCAGAACCTTCTCAAGGAACAATAACATGGCATCAACATCCCCAACAAAAGCTGAAATATCAGATGATCTAAGATAAACCGCACCCTTGGGGCTATTCACTAAAATATTCACAAGGTCTCGACCTTTCTCGTCTATCCAACCATCCAGTACAATGCTACAACCTGTACTTATCCATGAAGTTCTTATATCCTTTACAAAGTTTTGCATCGCTTTTACAGCATCCTCGAGGATCCACCCTTTTAACTCCTCGCAGCTGGGAATTATCTTCCCATGACCAAGGGTGGAATCAATCATTGTGCGAAAGCTACATGATTTGACAACATCAAAATCAGTTGCTGTCTCATAGAAGTATCTACCTATACATTTTTTAGCCTCGTCCAATGACGGATCTCTTGAGCTACTGGCAGGTATCTCTGAAAACACTCTCCCAGGAGAAGGGATGCTTTCTATTACACTGTTATCAAATCGATCGTCCCTTTTAAGATGCCTTTTAGTCCCAGAACTCTCAGTCTCGGTGAGATCCATCATTTTGTGCTTTAATGATTCTGTCTGAGGGCTCCTATTTCTCTTAAATGGAAAGAGCGAGTGGTACAATTCTCCAACTTCCTTGCTTAAACTTACCTGTTTCTTTATTGAAAGCTCGTTACCGAACATTTCCTTCACATTGGATGGAACTTCTAAGCAAGGGGTCACATCCCCCCGAATGCCTCCCAGGTGGTATTTGAGGTGACTGAAGCCACTAACAACTTTGTCACAATAATTACATTTGACTCTATTCTTCAGCGGATCTACTATAACACCATGATCTTAAACGTTAATAAGGAGCCCATTCAACGTCATCTTCTAAATTGTATTTGACAGCAGGGATTGATCTGAGGACAAAATTGTATGCATTAGAAAACAGTAAAAGAACCGAAAAGGCAAGAATAACAGGTGAAAATATGATATAACTACCCCGATGTACAATATTGATAAAAATAGCATTAATTCTACATAAAATTCCTTGCAACAAAATTGGCACATGGTAAAAAAGGATAAAAGAAGGGCCTTTTTATTTTCACATTTGTTTTGTGAGACAAATGGTTGTAGATTAGAGGTATTAAATTGGGAAGTGCGGTCCAGGGACGGAGCTAGGGGGATAAGAAAAATTCAACTTGATCGATACATAGAGGGGAAAAAATGACTTTGCTACATTTACATCAAATTTTACATAATGGGTTATATAATGCCACATGTCACGTTATCAATTGTCAGCTTAAAACACAATCAATTTTTTCATCCAATATTTTCCCTCCACATCATTTTATGTAATTTCTTATGTACAAGTAGCATAATTTAAAAAAAAAAATTTCCCTTGAAAAAAATTTGGGTTGCCAGTTTTTGTTTTTATAATTTTGTTTTGTTTTTTTGAAGGACTTTAGAGGGAAAATAAATTTAAAAATAATGGCACAGGTGGGTACCAGGAAGGACCAGGTGTGCCTGGCCACCTCACAAGTCAAGCTGACTAGCAGATTTGCGATCCCCACTTATTACAAGTCGGACAAGTGGATTTTAGTCGATCCACCCATTTTGACACCAATAGGTAAATGATGCTTTGCCAAAATCAAAATATAATTGGACATAAAAGTGCAACACATATTAAACATATCATAGTTTAAAAAATATCGATTGAAGCCAGCCTCAAAGCAAGGCGAACAAAAAACGCCTCAACGAGCTCATTGTGAGGCAATTCTTGGAGCTCAGTTAAGTGAAGTGACGTGAAGCTTTGGGAGGCATGAGCTATTTAATTATCTACTTACTTTGCTTTAGACGTGAGTTCGCAAAATATAAAATATTTTCATTTTGTAAAAAGAAAAAGAGCAAGCATACCCACTTTTCAAGAGAGGGCACAAGAAAACACCAACTTTTTAAGGTCTCGTTTGGGAGGGATTTTGAGAATTGATTTTTTGGCCGTTAGAAGAAAAGTGGGGTCTACTTGTGAGAGAATAAATCAAAAATTATGATTGGAATAATGAAATAACGGTCAAAAAATCAATTTTTTTGAGTAAAAAATCTCTTCCAAACAGGTTGTAAATCCACGTGAAACATAGGATAACAATAGGGTGAGAGTAAAAAAAAATACTCATTTAGCATCCATGTTTACTTATTTATTAAGGCCCTATTTGATCCACAATCCTAAATATATATATATATATATATATA